CCAGAAAAATATTATCTTATAATCTTCTTCATGTGTTTTTCTAATGCTTCAATATTTAGATGCTATGTAATATGCTTACTGTTAATGAATTAACTAATTGGAATATAAACAATCCATGATATGATTTCTTCATCAACAAATTCGTTTGTATCTTGTTTCTCTTGTAATTATCAAAAAACAAATCAAAACTTTATTAGTTTTTTGCACAAATTAACAAGTAAGTATTCATTAAATCTATAGGTCAAGATATAATAATTTTCATGGCATTTTATCACGATAAAGAAAAAGCCTTTTTTTCTTTTCTATTTAAGCGCTTTTTTTTTGTTTTCTAGTGGTCTTGTTATGCCTCAGTTTCAAAATCATTAAAATATAGAACATCAAGTACAACACGTCCTGGTCGACGATTATTATGTATATCTCAAGTAGCATTAGGAGATTCAGATAAATTCTATTCCTATGCACCAAACTTAATTCAAACACTTGAACATTTTCATAGTACATATGGAGTGAAAAGAAATGATGAAAATAATTCAAAGCTCACTGTTAAGACAAATAATTGTTTTTCGATTCGATTTTTATGCTTATGTTTATTTAAGATGATGAATATGCTGTTTATAATCTTGATCAACTACGATTGCTCCATCTTGTTGAACTTTCATCGATGCCCAATGATAGTATTTTTCCATCACCAACATGATTACCTATTATTGGCGATTCTTTAATAAATCAATCAAAACCTTTGTAAGAAGAAGGTAATCAGTTTTTTTCGAACCAAGTCACAGATAATTTCTGTACTACATAAGTATAGCTAAAAACTAGTATCACTTAGGTAATTCATCAATATACATATGATCGAATATGAATTTCACATATATTCCTACTTCTTATGATCAAGTATATCAAGAAAAAAAAGAAATCACACTCATAATTTGATGAAACACTAATAACACGAAACTGTCCTCACACATCATTATATTTGTATGCTATTGTTTTCACTGAAAATACGAATAATGTTGACATCGATATGGTCGCTAATTTAAGTATAAGGCTCAGTAGTTGATTTTGATAAATCTATAAACAAATAGCGGTTTGCATGTGGTAGGTAGGGTCGTCTGCAAACAATTTCAAGATGGAACGAATAATTTCTAACATGTCCTGACCGTTTGAAGTCCTGAGAATCCTACACCTTCCAAGGGTAATTATTCTACCGGAATTCTCTGAAATTTCGGTAGAAATTAGCAGAAGCCTATCGGATGTCTTTAGTCCAGATTACAATGATCTACATTCTTTAACTATGGCAGAATGTGGATATGTATCTTAGGCATGCATTTTTTGCTTTATTTTTGAACCAAAATGTCAATAATATTCAAGCGTTTATCTTGTCTGTTAGTGATCATAATTTCTGTGAATAATTCGATCGTTTATTGGTTGAACCGGTCGATAGGTTTTGCGCATCACGTTATTGCGAAGTAAATTTAAACTTTCTTCGTCTATCGGAATCGGATCGACAAATATTGTCCATATAATACCTTCAGTGCATGGTGGTGTTGTCAAACTACCTATATAACGAAAAAAACGTCTGCTTTCGATTTTGCACCATCTTTGAAGGACGTCAGCACGTTTCGGCTATTCTGAACCCTTGTTCTCCTACTATCCAGGTTTACTCATCTTTCGTTGACTTGTCAACTTCTTCTTCCCTGTATACACCCGTTTGCTTTGTACTAAAATTTTGCATATGATAGACAGAAGAAAATGCAAACTGAAAGCAATATCTAAGAGATCATAATATTATCAAAGTGTCAAAATTTCAATATTTTTTTTAGAAGTTATACGAGAGAACTGCGAAAAGTTCTGCAGAAAGCTTGAAATTCTATTAAAATTTTTTAGATGTATGTTCAAGGTTGCGATGCCTTCTTGAAGGACAGTTCTTGGAGCCTTATGTAAATTGTTGATTGTTTCTTAGAATGGAAATGCTCCGAGAACTTTAAAGCGATTCAGCTAGTAAGTATTTAAGTGACCGGAACAATCGATAGATCTCTTGTGAGCGTAAACATGCCAGACGTTGACTATTACAGCTTAACTATCTAAACAGTTTAGTGTCATACTTAAGAGGACAATATTAATCGGGTATTGTCAAGCAGAAATGCTAATATTCGGACTGGTGGAAAAGCTCATCTTAGCTAATTTGAGCAAGAAATATATTAGACCTAGTTATCAGAAACAGAGACCATCTCTTATGTCAAACAAATGTCGCACTTTTTGGATCATGTCTCCTCCCGAATTTCTAAAAACTTGCCATTGCTTCTGAAACTTCTGCTTTTCACTTTTTTCACTGATCTTAACCGCATGTAAATTGTACAGTCGTCCTTAGTGTATAGTGCTATTGCATCAGATGACTTAAAACGAAAGTGCAATTCATTGCATCACCTATGTTTGTCAATAAACTTGCAATATGTGTATATTTCTTCCATGCACGATTTTCTTCGTTAACTGAGAGAACAACATGAAAAAAAAATCCAAATACAGCGGTTTGTTGAGTTTCAAGATTCTTATAGACAAAATGTGCTTCAGCCGGATATTTGTGTCCATCAATTTCATGTTCCGATCCATGTCTGTCACTTCTACCCCAATGTAAATGAAAATTGACGAAATTAAATTTACCAGTTAGACCGCCACCAGTAAATGATAAATCCATTTCATTTTGAGTTCCAGAATCTTTTGGTAGCGTTGCAGCAACTTGATGGCCATTATTTGTCAATATTAATGTAATTTCTCTTTCAGTATCAGGAGAAAATACGAATGGTGGGTATTGTTTAGCAACTGTATAACGAGACTTAATATTGATAGGCGATTGGCA